CCGGGTGTGCTTCAAGATTTTGGTTATCACCTTTAGAGTGCTCCATGGCTTAGGACCTGGTTATTTATGGGACTGCCTACTACCACCAATACCCTCCCACCGGCCGGTACGGTCTCATAGAGAGGGGCTCCTCCAGGTGCCGTCGACCAAACAATGTTGACTGGTGGCCCCTAGGGGGAGAGCCTTTTCTGTGGGGGCACCTACTATCTGGAATGAGCTCCCCCCGGAGATACGGAGGATCCTGGATCTGCACACCTTCCGCCGTGCTCTTAAGACCTTTTTATTCCACCAGGCGGGCCTGGCCTAATTTTTTCCCTCTTTTTAATTACGCAAATTTTAAATTGGTTTTTAATGATTGGGGTTTTAATATGTCTTGGGCCAAATTTGTTTAATTCGATTTTACTTTGTTTTTAAATTTTGTATTTATGTGTTTTTACTGTTTGGCTGTTCACCGCCCTGAGTCCTTCGGGAGTAGGGAGGTATATAAATTAAATAAATAAAATAAATAAAAATAAAAGTTTGTTTGTTTTTTCACTGACTGATTTTCCTACTACTTACTTGAGCCTGTGTCACAACAATTGTGGAGTATATGAATTTTAATGTGGACTTTCCTAATTTGTAAAAAAAAGTATGAAATCCATTTGTTTTTCCAGTGTCATAATGGAATGAGATTCAAAATAGTGCATATTTGATTTCACTGCTAGATTAATTGCACTGAATTCTTTTCCATTGGGTGGGTGGGTTCCTAGCTTTTGGTGACAGTTCATGACCGTTTTAAAGAATTAACAAGAGTTACTATGTTTACCGAAACCAATTGTTATAGAACATGGTTTTTGCATGGGTATGTAAAAAACAGGAGAATGGATTAATTAGAAATGAGATGTTTCCCTGCAATCATTTTTAAAATAAACTGGAACCTGGAACCCAAAGTGATCACTTTGCCAATCATGCATCAAATTCTAATGATTTGGTAGCTGCAATTTATTGAATTTACTTTTCTTTTTTTCCAATTTTTATACTGCACTGAGTTTTTAACTGAGGGCCTCTAAGATAGTTCACCATGCTAATTATAAACGCAGACCAAAATGTTACAATTAGAAATGTAAATATAAAACAAATCTCTTCCTTGTACTATGGAGAGCAGAAGGGGGTAGAAATTGAATATCACAATTTTGAAACAATGAATTCAACAACAACAATGACAAAATTGGGGGTGGGGATCAAATTATAGCCAATAAATGATCGAGGCAATTCCACCTAACTGAGGGTGGTTGCAGTGTTGTTTTTGCTTGCTTATTCCTTCAAGTTCATTTTCACAGGGCATCTGAGGGTCATAAACCCTTTGCATTTGGAACAGACCTGTGTTACTTTAAATAATTTTAATCAAACTAAAGTATTCCAGATGTGTTGGGATTTCAGCTCTGGGTCTTTGACTATAGGCTGGTGGTTGAAATCTCTCAACCTTCTAAAGGTTGTCAACCTGGAGAAAATGGATCCAACAGAAAAAAAACCTTGAATTATTAGAAGAAATCCCAGCTTCTTTCCACAGCTTTAGTTAACGTCTTTGCCATTATTTTTCTAAACAAGCATTTCAGGGAAAATTGAATAGCTCAATCTATCTTTAACACACGTTATTTCCACTTGGTTTTCTGCAAGATGGATTAAGCTGTGTGCTCATAGTTTAAATGGATTATGGAAAAGTTACCGGGTTGATTTTGCTTTTGTATTTCACAGCTAGATTTGTTTGGACATACATTTTTGAGGTTGGGAGTTAAAATTGGAACTACGTATAAAATGACTGTCAATTAACTGGGTCAAGAATTTTCAGACAAAATATTAAAAAAGACTAAAAAATAACTATTTTAAGAGAAATATAATTGCTACATTTTTAAACATCTCATTTCATCTTAAAAGTATATTTTCTATTTCTATTCCTTTGTATTTTTACAACTGGTTAAGGGTAGCTCTTTTTCTTAATTGATCCAATCCCCATGAAAACCTGGATTGTGTCCGTTCCTTTCCTTCCATTGAAATTCTGATAGCAGCATTGACTCCAAACACCATGCATTGCCTCAAGCCAACCCCAGTCTCTATCTACTAGCTTTGATTGCTATGGCATCTTTATTTTCCTTCTTCATTTTTATAAGTCTTTTCATCTATCTAGAGGAGAGAAGCAAAAGGAAAATGGAACTGACAGACATTTTGGAGCAGAAAATAGTATTATATTTGCAAGACTGGAGGTTTGCACATAAAGAAAATGTCAAGTATCATAATTTTGAAGTTTTAGAGAACCAATGATGATATGATCGTGGTGATTTAGAATGGTTCTTGAGTTCAGTTGACCTGGAATAGTCTTTCTGCCCATGGGAAACATCAGTAAGGAGGCCCAAACAATACTTCTTTTCAGTGGAGTTTGCATCTCTTTGCAGCTGGACTTTTCAGACTGAAAGAAACTGCCAAGTGAAATCTGTTTCGCAAATTCCATTGAGTTCGGTTGAAGATGTATAATATTTTGAGGCCTGATGAGCTGAATAAGGAGTACAATGCTAGCATCCCTGTTTTACTTATCTAGAGAATTCTTGTCCAAGAGAAGTGGAGAAAATAGAAGAAGAAAAGTGTTAACTGCACTTAGTAATATCAGGAAAATCTTCTTTTACAGGCTGCATATTTGGCCATTGTATATATCTGTATAAGTATGGATATATGTTTATTTATTGGCATCTTTCCTTTGGGAGCAACAATGTACATGGAACTGCCTCTTCCAACTTTTCCCCACCACGTTCCTGAGAAGTAGGCTAATTTGAGAGAGTGTGGACTTGTGCATGTAACACTTATGTGTGAGAGAGACAGTGGGGGGAAGGAGGGAAGGAGGGAGGGAGGGAGAGGGAGAGAGATTGTTCTGCCTTGATATGCTCAAAAGTCCGTTCTCAGGTTCAAATCATCTAACTAAATTCCCTTGAGGGTTGCAGTCTATTAAAAAGCCAATGCTGTAGCTTGAAGTAACACTTCCTTATTTTTCAATTTCTGTCGATACAGAAGTTATTGAATAGCTTGAAGACTGGGCTTATTTTCTTCAGAAACGTTCCCACTTTGAATTGGTCTTGAATGCAGCCCTAGATGAAGCCATGATTATTTCCCACTGAATGAACAGGAATTAAGTTTCCAATTGTTAAATTAAGTTATCCAGCCTTAATGTATCAATATTGCTTGTGTATTCAGTGTTAGATCTATAACTCTTTACATTCCTCCATCCATGATGCTGAAGCAGATTTGTCTGCAAGAATCTTAATGGCAATATATTACAGTTATTTCACTTCAAAAGAAACTGTAGAAAGATATACATTTATATTTAACTGAAGACAAATTATTCACAAATTTGTTAATGACTAAACTAGAAATTCCTGGTCTCATTTTTGTGTGGTTGTTTTGATACTTACCAATATTTTGATATTTGGCAACTATCAAACCTGCCATCAGTGTGTGCATTTGACCTTTTGGGTATTTTTAGACTGACCTTTCTCTGACAAACACATGGTTGCATCCATGAATCTTAAGCCTGATTTTTATGCTACTCAGTTGCAAATTCTTGATTAGTTAGGAAACCTGAGAGAGGAAGGATGTGCTCCTGAGCTGGTCATGTCTTTTAATTTAGAAACCTGAAGGCAGAATCTTTCAAATGATCCTGATATTTGTAAGCTGCCATGGGAATCATTTTGGCTAAGCAGTAGGAGAAACAATAAATGCTTTGGATGTATTTAAAATGTTCAAAACTGTGAAAATAAATTGGATCTGGACTTATTTCTCCATTTGGATGGCACTATTAAATTGATTAAATTGATCTTGGGAAATAATCTACTGTAAAGCTTGCTGTGGAACAAGCATTTTTAAAATAGATATTTCAATGCCTATGATAAACTGCTTGGGAAAGCTCCAATCTCATGCTCCACCCCTTCAATTGGGCATACAGAACTTAATGAGAACCCGGGAGCTGAATGTCTCTGAGGACAATATTTGCTATATAGCAGACTAATTTAAGGAGTTTCCATCATGTGTGAAACATGCAGTACACAGCCTTGTCATCCAACAGAAAAGAATCACAACAGGACTTAGAAAATCCTCATTGCTTCCCACAGCAATCTCTAGCAAACTCTGACGTACACCTAATGATAGGGTTGGTCCAGGGATTGCTGAACCATCTCTTGGTCTCAATTACAGCACTCGGTAGAGTCCAATGTTGTCTGAAAGTTATCTGATGGCAGGAGAAGGAGAAGTCTAGTCAGTTTTCCATCTTTCAATTCACTGATCAAATGGCTGCTGATCATAGGCTGAGAGAGAGCAAAACAGAAAACCTTAGGTAAAATATTCAACAGTGCATTTGTGAAAACTCCACACTAAGTTGCTACAAAACCAAAAAACCAAACCAAAAAGAATAACAATAAATGCAGAATAAAGAAAAGTTAGCCAATTCTCAATTCCAAGGAATTCCCCTTCCACCCACTAGTCTGACTCAGATACCTCCTTAAATTTCCCAAATCTTTACATTCTGGTGAGTTAGAGGGAGAATCAAAGCATCAGCTGCTTTATGCATTCCAAGTACCGCTGCGATGAGTAAAAAGTAAAATGTGTTGGCTTCTCTTCAAATCCTGGTTTAACAGACCAATGAACAATCGTTTCCCCGGTTTTTGTTTTTGTTTTTGTTTACAAAACGCTAAGGGGACTTTCAAATGACAGCAATAAACGATGGATCAATTGTGCACTGTTTTTATTTGTAACCCTGCCGCTGCTGCTGAACTGCGAGAGCAACCTACCCTTCTGAAAAGAGACGAAAGTCGCTCACAGAAGCGAATTTCAAATAAATCTAAGCGGGGGAGCCCAGCGAGCATGTGATTTGGAAAGTAGGAATCCTTGGAGGAATGTGATACTGATCATGGGGCCGAGGGCACTCCCGGGGGATGTGGATGGACCGGGCGTCTCGCCTCTCATCTCAGCCTTGCCTCGAGTTCCACACAATCAAGAGAACTCGACCGCGGATTGGAGGAACGGAGCTCTCTTTTTGCCTCCCTCCGGGGTTTTTCTTTTTTTTCCCCCTCTGCTTCGCTCCGGCTTCGAGAAAAGGAGGAATTCTCCAGGGTGCTGAATCAGTTCAGCGCGGCCAGGCTTGCCTCTGGTCCGCGCAAGCCTTTCTCCCTCTCTCTCTCTCTTTCTCTCTCTCTCTCTCTCCCCGCCCCAGCCAGCTGAAGAGGGCGTCCTGCTACGAGGCAGAAGGAGGATCGCACTCTCTCTTGCCTCCAAATGATTGGCAGCCCTGCGGCCTCACTTCGCTTTCTTTTTTTCGCCGTCGCGCTGTATTATAGATGAGGAGGAGCTGAAAAATGCAGATCTGGCATCACACGCACACACGCACACGCACCCATCGGAATAATTCCACGAGCAGCCAGCCCATCGGATTCCCCCTCTTCTCGAGGCTGTGAGATGCTAAAGCAGAGCACCGCTTAATTGGCTGTCTGCAGCCAGCCCGCTGACCGGTCCCCTTAGAGTATCCATATTATCCTTTGCTTAGCTTTATTCCCGTTATTGAGCCCACGAATATTGCCTTGCACTCCCTGTCCGAAAAAGCCATGAAGACAGGCACTATTCCATGCTGCAAGACAGCTGGCCTCTTTTTACTGGGGTTCGTTCGCTTTGCCTTTGCATCTCAAAAGGCCATCTATACCAACCATTTTTTCGTTGAGTTTCACAAAGCGGGAGAAGCAGAAGCCAAGCAACTTGCTGCAGAATACGGCTTTAATGGGGTCAGGAAGGTAAGATCCCCATTCTCCTCTCCTTCTTCCTTCCTTTCTCTCTCTCTTTCCCCAGACCATTTAGTTATGCATGATGTTTATGAATTTGTTCTGCAAAGTTGGCTTGATCTGTGTCTGCATTTTAGTACTCAGGAAGAGGATCGGAGAAAAAGAGTTGTTTGAAACTCTTGTTAGACTAGGTTGATTGTTCCTAATCTAAATGGCTCCTCCTAAATATTTTTAGCACAGTTTTTTTTAGCCTTCTTCTCTTTTTTTGGAGGAGAGTTGGCTATCTATGTCTGTGCTTGTAGCTACAACAGTTTAAAGAATGATTCATTCTTTGAAGCTCACACTTTGACCATGTCCACTAAGTTAGGAGCAATACAGAGATCCTCATGGATGATTCTTCTGTTTCTTTGACTTCTAAGGTTTAAAAAGTCAATGTGCAAAAACCCCATGGCACAATATTTTAAATTGGATGCTTTGTTTTGGACCCACACTAATTAGAACTAAGATATATTTTCTCTACTGATTAGTTTTGTGTCAGTGGATCCATACTGTATTGGTAGAACCCGCATATTCACAAGTCAACTTCTCCATTTGCCAAAAGAAGGGGTCAGTTGCAATAGTCATTATTGATGGCCAGAACTGTCTCTTAATTCAAGAACCTTTTCAAGCTTTCATTTGGGAATCTCATAACAAGTCTACCTTGAGTTTTCCTTTTGTTTCAAACAATTTCTGTTCTGTAAGCTCTTGGAAGTAAAGAACATGTGTCTGCAATAACTAATTAATGTTCCTTAACTGTAACCAAGTATCCATGCACACTAAAAATAGAGTGCGGTTAATACAACATACCAAGTTTATACATGGAGTTGGGGGAAAAAACCTATGGTGTCTAACAGCAGTGGGGGGATCAGAAGACAAGATAAGCTGCTTATGGTATCATTGCATATTAGTCACAAATGACTTCAACATGCCTTTAAAACCTTTCCTTTTTGTACCTGAGAATGAAAACAAGCAGTGACTCCATGTCAAGAAAGAAATGAATTCCATTTAATTAAACAACAATAATAGAATGTGTGGGCTTATGTAATGCTTTACAGTATTGGTGAAGACCTTATATATATATAAAATACAAGAACCCAGCAAGATCTACCTAGGACAAACCAATTTCATCATATTATTCCCCCCCACCACCCAGTGATTATGCAAGAAGGACCTGAAATAACTTCTACTGCAGGCAATGGGCTTCTCCCTGTTTACTTCAATAGGACTGAGCTCCCTCAAGCATGTCTGAAGAGTGGGAAATTGCAAAAAGAAAGAAAGAAAGAAAGAAAGAAAGAAAGAAAGAAAGAAAGAAAGATGGAAAGAAGGACAGAAAGAAAGAAAGAAAGACAGACAGACAGACAGACTCTATAATGCCTGCCTGGACTCAGTTAGATAGGAATACATTAAAAATGAAGGAAAGCCTAATAACCTTTGGTTTAATTTCATGACTGTCTGATAGATTTGGCATTTCTGAAATGTTCTGCAGAGATATTGTGGCATTGCCAGAGTTCTGGGGAAGAGTACTTATGAACAAATATATATCTGTAACTGAAGCTTCTTTGGTAAAGAAGTTTAGTTCTTAATGCACTTTCTGCTTTCTTCCCAGACTCACTCTCCTCTGCTCTTTTTTTTTCCTTTTTGATTTTGAGAAATGGCTTTTTGCTAGAACTACTTTGTTCTTATTCTCTTCCATCATATAATCATTTCTTTTCTGCTCATCAGATGGGGAAAAAGTAGGACCAGGGCAGAAATGTTCATGAAAAAGATACATAGAGACCCAGATTATCCCTGTGCACATATAAAAAGGGTGTAACCTCAAAAGAGTACTATTTTTTCCCCATATGCCTTACTACAAGGATCTGTGTCTGAGTTCATTTCCTTCTATTGTTACTTAGTAGGAGCTTATCTAAGCATCATTTCCTCTTCATAGAAGGAATGAAAGAAGACAGTTCATTTTTATATACAACTTAGGCTGCAAATTCCATGCAAAATAAGTTCTGCTAAAAGTTAATTCTGAGTAGATATATGCACGTTGTATATTAACCAACAAGGTTAAAAACAAATCAACCATCACCACCACTGCCAGAACTGGCTAGCAAACTCATAATGAAGCACTGTATGGCTGATCTTAGCAACACTTTTCTTATAACAGTTGGAATACAATAGCAACCTTTTATAATTGCATAAGTTTTATTGAGTTGCGTGGCTTTTATCCTTAGTTGATGAATTCACAATCAAAGGCCTACTTTCCTACTGTTCCAGCACATGAGCAACAGGAAAATTAAATGCTCAGTCTATATGGAAACTATATTAATAAGTGGTGGGGTTTTTTTCTTTCTTTTGCCTTCCTTCCCCCTCATTGCTTATCATATTTCAGGGAAGGAAAAACAACCACTCCATTATTTATAAGACATATCGTTCATTTTCTATCGACTCCAGCTCTGCGCAAGATGAAATTCAAAATGAAGTCCTTGGTTTCTCCTTTCCATTAACAGCAACTCAGATGCTCTTCCTGAGCTGCCTTGCTCCCCAGGAACATTTCCACTAAGTTCTAACAGAGATTTCCATAGTCAATATGACTAGGATCATTGTCAGGGAAATCATCCTGGCAGGATGATTTCCCCTACAAGTACGAATTTAACTGAGTTATTTTGCTTTCTTTATACTTAGCATCACCATGGGGAGTTTGTGGTGGGGAGAGGCAGCAGGAGGAATCTACCGTAGGCTATTTCCAAAATTGCCTGTAATTTACTGATTCTGTTTCTCATTTTACCTTATGCTGATGTTAATGGGAATGAGCAAAGAATAGAGATGGAAGAGATTTCTCAAAAATAAAAATAATAAATTCCTAGGAAAAAGGAGGATGCGAGTTAAATTTTGGTTAATAATTCCTTCCAATAAAAGCTATGCTAGCTGAATAATTTGCAACTTTGATCTCAGGTTTTTTTCCAAATTCATGCTTGTTTCGAAGTTTTTAAATGGACAATCAGCATTGGGTTGCTTCTAGCAGTGTTTGTTGTCAATTAAAGAATAATATGTGCCTACTTTTCCTTCTGCATGCTAAAAACTACAGGGAGCTAGTTTATTTTTTCTCCTGAAACTCTCCCACCCACCCCTACCATGTAACTATCCATTGTTAACATGAGAGACAAATTATTTTTAATAGTATTCACTCCTACATGGTCATTTGGGGGGACTTCTCATTATTTTAGAATAACTCTCCCTTATGAAAAATATATGATGCTAGCATGCACAGACTTTACAACTCAAAACCTGTGGACCCACAGGAAAATGGTTACATAATTAATAATGCTTTTTTGTGTATGCATTATCTGCCTGGGTTTCAGCTCATCTGAAAGACTGAAGATAGATGAGAAATATTTATTATAAAGGGGGTGGAATCATCACCATTAAAACAACACTGACAAACCCTTATCATGTGATGAAATTGGGGAACTCTTGTGTTTAATGAGAAAATGAAGAACACAATAACAAAAACCAACAACAAAACATGAAATAATTGTAACACAAACCTATTCAACTCCTTTAATCCATCACCAAATTAATTAATATCACTTTTATGATTCCAAATTGATGTCTTTTTCTTATAGGGAGCTGTTTTTGTAGCTGCTTGTTGGACTAAATATCCAGAGCTTTAACTAATTTTCAGAATGGCAAATGCTATAGTTTTCAAAGCATCAAGAACTGGACTGGAGTAGGTCTTTCTGTGACATGTCTTGGGCTACTCTTGAAAATCTGAGAAGAGGAGGGCAGGGCCAGGATAAAAAACCCATTTGCTTGAATTATAATTGATTAATTAAATTAAGGTAATATATATTTAATTGTAATACAAAAAAAGACAGTTAAGTAATTGGAATTAATACAGTTGCTTCCCATATATTATATAATTTTCCCGTCTGTCACATTCAAAATTACAACACCCAAGCAATTTTTGTTAGGAATCTGAGGAAAGTGTGAGATTACTATAGATGTGAGGCTACAATTCGTATAAACCCCACTCCCCAAAACTATATGTGAACAAGAGTTTCTACAACATGATCCAGTGCTTGTTGGAATATGTGGAAGTCACAAAGGAAAAGTAGACAACCATATACTATCCAGTACATTTCCCTGACTTCTTCATCTCAAGAACATTAGTGAGACTTCACCCAGCTTCATTTCCAGATTTGCCACTGTGAATTGGGACCTTAAAAAAATAATAATCAGGGTTTGAAATTGTTACTGAGGCCAATGTATTCAACTTGCAAGCATCACAATAAGCACATTGCTCCTTTGGATACTTTTTTCTATTGTACAGGAAAGAAAATGTTGCTTTTTTTCCGCTATAAATCACCTCCACCACCACCCCCAAAATGTGGTTCCTGGAATTCATTTGTGTGATTAAACGCTACTTCATTGATAATGGTCTATTCCTGGATGAAACACTGTATAGTTAACTAGGCTGATTTCATACATCAACACATTTTATACCCCAAACCTTTCTAGAGCAATTTGCAAGGCTCTGTAGTTATTCTCATGGAAACTAACCTCACAGTGTGAGAATTCCTCCACAACATGCTTTCAGTAAGGAAGGGCAAAAATCATCAGCCAGGTATTCCCCCTGTCCCTCCATTCTAATTTTGCACAGCATTTGTCACTTTCAATAGCCAGATCTACCTGAGGGGCTTACACACTTCAAAAAACTGATGAAAAGATGCTGTGGTGCCTTAATCTCAGTGTAACAGAATAACAGAATAATAGAGTTGGAAGGAACCTTCTAGTCCAACTCCCTGTTCAGGCAGGGAACCCAATACCATTTCAGACAAATGGTTATCCAATCTCTGGGTGCTAAAACCTCCAGTGTTTTAGCACCCACAACTTCTGGAGACAAGCCATTCAGTGATTGATTGTTCTAACCATCAGGAGTGAGGAGGATCCCAAGAGATCGGGTGAACCAAGAGTTCTTGTCAGTG